TTTTGGGCGAAATTGCACAATAATTCCTTGACTCGACGTACTTGCGGCGAACCCCATGCAGGTCTGAACGCTCCAGGTGGCGTGGATGTGTATTCGTGGGCGTGGGTCCAGTTCTGCAGCTCTCCATGTCGGCTCCCCTGGCTGCACCCCGGCTCTTCCTTCAGGTCCCGGCTTGCGAAGTCCTCAGTGCTGTCGGCGAGCGGAGGTCTGCTTCCTGACGGCAGTTCTGGGCCCCGCTCCAGGTTTCCATCGGAGCCCCGGTGCAAAGTGTGGGAGGAGGGGTCGAGCAAAGACGGCACAAAGGCTGTGGCCACCACATGTCCTCGTCCCGCGGGGGGGGGGTCTGAGCAAGGCAGCAGGGACTCTGGAGACCCTTCAAAGTCGCGTTTCCCAGGCCTTACACTTGGCAAGCTTTTCAAAATGGAAGCCACACAGATAAGTCACGGAAAAAGAGTAGCTGCTCAAAACCTCCCCCACCCCCGTGCACCTTTTTTAACATATGTGTTTAAGAGCTTTTTCCACGCCGATTGGAAGTAATAAGAAAACAGTAGGGTAGTTCAGACTTGACGGATGTCTAGATTTAGCACACTGTGCTTATTCTCTCTGGAGCAGTAATTGTTGGAAAAATCCCCCAGATCTTATATGGACCCTGGAAAGTTCAATGCAGGTGTCATTATTTAAGATAAATATTCCCCAGCAAATGCAATGCAACAGTACATCAGCAGATCATCACTGAATTTAATTCTGAATACTGGGCAGAGGAATTTTCTTTTTTAATTGACACCAGGGCTAAGAAAACCCATCTAAGAAAGCTTCACAGTACTTCAGCAAATGTGATAGGAACTTGGGACGCCAGTCAATAGGTTTAAAAAATATAATTTTACCCATCCATCCGATTCGAACCACTTCCTCCAATTCAAGGTCACAGGGGAGCGCCACAGCCTATCCCAGTAAGCAACGGGTACTAGGCGGGACACATCCTGGACAGGACACACACACTCTCACACAAGAGCCAATTCTGAACATAAGCTAATTAACCTACCAGCATGTCTTTGGACTGTGGGAGGAACCTGGAGCACTGGAAGGAAACCAACATGCACACTCCACACAGATAGCAGCCCAGGTCCAACATTGAACTCCAGCGCTGTGAGGCAGTAACGCTAAACACCCCGTGACCTTGCCACCAACATATGCAAGTATGTGAATTAAAACGTTTGTAAAGACATTGCTACTTAGACCATTCTGCCAATTATGTCGTTTTGTGATACCTTCAGTGCATGACTTCCCAGAGTGACAGTATGTCCAGAGAGCAATCAGGACTATGTGCTGCACTGTTAGGATCGTGTTAGGATTGTGCTGTGAGGAATGTGTTAATGGTCAGGGTGGTCCCAACCTAAATAACTTTCTGCTTCCATTTTGTCAGCGTGATACATTTCTTGCTGAAAACACTGCAAGATTCTTTGATCCGTGTTGGTGTTCAAAGTTTCTGTGATTTCTGTGATTTTGTTTAAAAACCCTTGTTTAAAATATTTAATTAAATCCATTTAATTTGAGTGTTGCATTTCTTTGTTGCATCGTTATACTTTGTTATACAGTATATGTTATAGCCCAGGAAAGTTGGTCTTTGTGTTTATTGGGAAGCCGTACTGTAATCAATGTGTTGCTCAAGAAGAACATATTGCTTAAATTGTTCATATTATACATCAGCCAAAAAACTGCTGACACCAGAACACCCCCCATGAGATGTTAGGCCTGCAGCAGGATAATGCAAATGATGTAAAGTGCTGATACAGAGATGGACTGGCTTGGCTGGAGTTTTCTTACTTTTGCAAGTTCTTGTCTTTAGTAAATATTGAAAAACCACACCAAAACATCATTGAAATGTAAATAAGAAATATTGACATTGAGATGTAAGCAGGGAAATACACCCAGAGCCCCTCATATTGACTTAGTCACTGCCTCTGATTTAAATCTTCAAAATCCCCAAATACAGAAAAAACACTTTTTGGACTTTTTCTGGACTTCTGGACTTTTTCTTTCAAGTAAAGACAGAAAGAGACCCTTGGATTAGCTTTATTAATTATCTGTTTATCAATTTTCTGTTAGTAAACAAATAGCAGGTGCATGGTGTTATACCTCACGATATAGAAAGGGAAAGTAAAGTGGTCATGTTTTTGGAATAATAAAAGATTTGATGATTTAGTTTCGGGGTTTGTTTGATCTTTTTAGGTTCCTCCCTAGTGATCTCTAGCTCGCCATAAATAAAATACATCTAGTAAAACTCTTGGCAAATGTAAGATGCAGAAGCTGGTTCTTATTCAGTTCTCTTCCAGTTTTGTATTTTGAACAGCCCTCTTGGTGTGATGATTTGTGGAATTAGAGAGGAATAAAATAAGTGGCTGGAATATGAGCATTCAATTTTGATTCTGTTTAGAACCATCTTTACTCAGCTGCCAGTGGTCATTTAGCCATTTGATTGGATTAATATCACAGATAAGACAAGTGTGGGAGAAGGACATTAATCCCTCAATCTTAAATGAGATGTGTGTAACCAGGGTTGTTGGGTCTGTTCATTCCATGTCTTGGATCTTGAAATGCAGGTATTGCTGCCTAAGCTTTTTTGTAGATGTATAGATGTCCTCCTGTCATCTATAGTTAATGCTGCAGAGACCTATTGAACAACATCTCTGTTATATCAAGATGCTTCCCAAGCGTAGACTGCCTCAGTTTTTTAGCAGGTTAAGATCTGTCTTGTTGCATGACACTAAATGTGCGGCAGGGGATATTAAGGAGTGTCTTTGCCCCCAGGTTGAAAAGCCTTGTTGTAGCATCACCTTTCCAGGGTAGCCTACGCCTGGCTTAGGTAAAATGACTCCAGTCTCACTGTGTTGACCATTGTTGTGTTTTTTTTAGAATTTGCCTGCTCAATCCAAAACAGAAACCAGTTTGGGTGTGACAGTCTTGCCATCAGATCTATGTTTGAATTCCTGCCTAGATGTAAATTAGGACAGCAACGCCTTCCCTGCCTCATATGTTGCTTTGCAGACCTGTGACTAACCTATCTTTATCCTTGCAGCTGCCCCTTAGTTTGCTTCTTGTGGTAGGATTGCGCACTGTCTTGTGCTTAAGTTATGGCTTTGCTGTTAACCTGAAGACTCCTGCCAGTGAGAGGGGCCCACTGTATGTGTAAACCTGAGGAATTGTCCTACAGCCAAGTCATAATATTTTTGCTCTGCAAGGAGGAGACTGTGAGGGGAAATCACAGCTGGGATGAGAAATACCCATATCTTGAGAATTGCATCCCTTGGCTAAGCCATGAAAGGACTGTAAATATTTACACATACAGACTACGAAACCACTAGATACTACTGGTATTGAATCTCTGGCGGCCTGAACAGTGTATGAATAAAGTGCTGCATAAGGAATATCAAAGAAACATTTAGCAGAACATCAGAAACTTCCTCTGAGTGTCTCATTACTGCAGTCGCGGTGAGGCCAATTAATTTCTTCCAGGTAGCTCTGTTAGGACCTGTCCTGGTAGATGAAGGGGAAGTTTTGCTTTGCTGTGGATCTGCAGTAGGTCTCTTCTGATGTAAACATGCCTTACTTAGCTGCATTTGATCCCACTGACGTGAATCAAAATCATTTCATGCAAAAGAGTTTAAAAACAGTAACAGTCTAGAAAATGAAATGGTGTTCTTGCATCTTGAAAAGGTCAGTGTTTTGCACATCTCTTATTAATTACTACAGGTGGCCTGCTTCATGACATTATCTGACTAGAACCTGCTGAGCCCTTTGGTCTCTTTAGAAAAATGGCGGCACCTTAATGACTTTGAGGAAACGTCTGAATCACAATTAAAATGTTCGAAGGTGATTTTCCGCTGACTTGAAAATCATTTTAATCTGCCTCTTAAAAACAGTGGACAGTGAGTATTCTGGGACCGTGATCAGGCTGGGTGACTGTTGCACCTTATACTTTCTTCCTGGTTATTGGATTGGATTCTCAAACAACTGTTCCAATCCAGTTCTTATTATTTCACAAGGTTGCAGACTTGGTTGCAGGGTTTTTAATTTCTTAATATTTTGCACATGCACATGTGGATCTCCTGCGTACACGACTTGTGTTTCTTGGAGCAAACGGAGTACCTTGCTCAAGGGTATAGCAGCCCTGTTCCTCCTGGGACTTGGCCCCACACCCCTCCGACAGGAGTCCTGAGTCCTAGCCACATCCTCGAACTGAAATGTGCACATGTTCTAGTTCTAGTTTCTAGTTCCAGCCTCTGTCCTGTTCAATTCACAGGCTTGTGAGGAGGAAACACAGGACATGCAGCACTGGACTTTAGTGTTCCTGCAGATTCCACAGGGAAGTAGTACAGAGTTCACCCGGCCTCGGCGGACACTATAAACAACATTGTCTGCTTTGGGATACTGGTGCGAAGGGAAGTGTATCAAACAATTAAATAAATAATCCGCCATTGATCTTTTTCCCACCCTCTCTTGAGCTGCAGGCGGTAAAATGAAATTGCCTGGGTACGAGGGATTTGAATCAAAGACGCATAGCCATTGAGACATCAGGTTATTAATTCTCTGCATGTCCTGTTAGGTAATTGAGAACGTCTATCACATTAAGGTGAAGCAGAACATATGCACGCTTAATGTCAATCTATAGGGGTCATTCATCTCATTTAATTTTCTCTTAAAAGAAATGAATCCAAAGATGTGTTAGTGTCTTTTGTTGTGTTAAAGTGTTGCCACAATTTTGACTGGATTATTATTGCTTTCCGAATATCCAAATTAGATACGTAAACTTGGTGAAATAACTTCCGCATGTTAAGACGTGCTCGCAAAGTAAAGTTTTGATACGCAGATTGATACGCAGATGAAACTCGGCTTTTTAAGCAGACCACTGTTTTGAGAGGAGTAAACAGTACCTTGGCTCTGTGCTGGTGTGTTGAATTGTGTGTTCTGTGGCCACAGCACTGTTGTTAACTGCACGGCTTCTTTTCCTGTTCCCACTGAAGGAAAGCCAAAGCCCGATGAAAGAACATCACCCACGGATGTGTCATCTAAAAAGAAGTGAAGCAGGCTATGGCTTCAACCTTCACAGTGAAAAGTCCAAGCCTGGACAGTTCATCCGGTCAGTGGACCCTGGGTCACCGGCTGCCAGGGCAGGATTGAGGCCACAGGACCGGCTAATTGAGGTAATGAAAGGGACTAAACATTTGTTTATCTGCTTAAGAACCATCAGACGAGCGCTTTCAAAGAATCACACTTTTCATTTCCTGATGGGCTCGAGGTTATATGAAGAAATACAGCTTTTTAACAGCTTTTTAAAGGGCCTGTGTCTCACCTGCCCTCCTGTTCCGACTTCAGGCTATTCGCTGTTTCTTTGAAATGCCTGCTTGGAGTACTATGCTCTCCATCTGACCCTTCCAAAGACAAAAACAACATGCAGTACCTTCTGCAGGGACTTTTCAGATCTAATTAGGAGGCTGTGAAGTTGTATTACACCAAGATCTCACTTTGAAGCATTTTGCTCTTAAGCCACTGATACACTTGTGTGTGCCTTGCCTGCTAATTCCAGTCAGGGAAATCTTCTAACAGGTTGAACAGCAGAGAATAATACATGAAAACAACATACTGTAATTAAGCCATACAGCTCTGTGTCAGTGACTTAGCACACTTTTTTCAAGGCTAATAATATGTAGAAACCGAAGCAGTAGGTTCCTGGAAAAGAAGCAACTATCCCCCAGCTACACCACATTGAAGATTTTCAGGTTTTAAGCAATACGATCTATTATTTAAATGGCACTCAAGTACAAAATGAGAGAGATATATATCTCCAGAGCCCATTTAGGATATCAACAGCATGATAGTCTGGCTACCTGAGTGCTGCAGAGTTTTTAGAGGCTACGCAAGAGAACCTTCTCCTATGCAGTAAGGAGAATATTTAGATCAAACTGACCATTGTACTCAGGTAAAGAATGAATCGGCACGGTTTTAGAAGTTGGTCACCTACAAGAAAAATGCTGAAGGGAGATATTGGGAAACAAATAACAAAATATCCCCAAGAAAGAATCAAATTTAAACTTGACAAGAATCTCTTACCTAAAGTTCCTGAGGTATTGAAAAAGACTTTTCCCAGTAGGTGTCTGAGATACTTATTGTGAGGCCAAACTCCAGGCTTTAATTCCAGAAATTTGCCTGTGATATCCCATTTGAACATTTCTGGGAGGTCCCTCAATCTGCTGTGTCCAACCGCAACATAGCAAAATAACTCAAACAAAATATAAATGTTGTTCACCATTTGAATTTTGTATTTTTTTGTATTTGCCATGTTATCAGACGTTTTTTCTATGCAGTTTAGGCATACTGTATTAATCTACATAAATTAATCTAAACATGTATTAAATCATTTTCGAGGACAAGACCTCATTCTCCTTTATTTTTCAAAAGAGTCTGTAAACAGTTATGTGTCTAAATAATTAGGTTTGGGCAATCACTTGAATTTGTTAAATTTGCTTAAACTTCAAAACACAAAAATACTGTACCTCAAATATCCTACAAAGAATGAAAATAATTCCAAGCATTTATGACATAGATTAGATCCATGTGGTATTGACGACTGCTTATGATGTTAACTCGGAATTGCGCTGTTAAATTGTTAAAACACGCTTCATTTTCCTTGAATCATTTCCCCGACTCTTGCTCATAATTTCAGGAATTTTTAGCAGCGGTCGAGCCACATGCCCTTTTTTTGTGGCAAGTGTCAGTACTAGAGTCCGTGATTTAACCTGATTGATTATTGGCTTTCCAAACTGGTTGTCTTTCAAAAAACTACGGCTCTAACTAAATGAGTCAAACCATTCTGTAATCAAAATGAAGTCTCTACTCTGAGGTTTATATTAGCCATCAAGATCACATGTTTTGCTTAAATGTGCTTGTAGTTTGTATTTTGTTGAAAGATTTTTTCCACGAGGCAGGAAAAATGTATTCACATTTTTTATCCATCACATTTATTCTATGTGTTTCATTATTGCTTCCCATAGGAATGTCAGCTGTACATTAACTACCAAAACACAGCTTATAAAAGGGCATATGAAGACACAGAGGAATAGGCAGACTCCTAGTTTCTTTTTCTTTTGTATGTGCTCATAAATCTGTGATGGATTTAATTACGATCATCCACCACAGATTTAAACAAGTACAGTACAAGGCCCGAAGCAAATACATAAGATAAGAGAATAAAGTTGAATAAGAGAATAAGCTTAATAGAGAGAATTCAAATTTATTTCTCCATGCCTTGCATCTAATCTATATTCACACAGGACCTGTCCTTAGCTGAAGAAAACGTACACCACACTGGAATATCTGGAAATCTGATCCCTTTAACAAAGTTAGGGGGCATATAGATACTGTAGGATTTATGCTTTATGGACCAGGGGATAGTCACAGAGAAAGTATGTCTAGCATTTTTAAACTGGTTAGACAATCAATCAGAAACTGCCCGATTAATTAGTCAAAATTAGTTAAAAGTCAATTACGCAGGGCCTCAGGACTGGAACCAATCAAGACTTTAACCGTCTTGCAGCTAACTAATTCCAGCTGTTTCAACTTTGTTTTTCAAGCTTCTTTCTTCACCCTAATGGAAGCGTTCCATCGGTTACTGGGTTTTTATAACTTGTGATGGGCTGCCGGTTCTAAGTTACAGGCCCCAGTGTTTAACACTTCATTAGAATAAACTTTTCTTGTGCCGAATGGCTCCACCACATGTGCTGTACAACCCACATGCTGTACCTCAGCATCTCTAAGTCACTGCCAGAAAGTGATGTGTGGTGCACTAGTATACTGTACATGGACATTGTAAGACAGGACAGTTTTTACTGATGTGTAGTAGTAGCCTGTATTCCATCAATCTATGGATTTTTAAACTCAGGCTGTGTAACAATCCCATTACCTTTTGTGAAATAAATCACAATAATGATAATTTTTGACAACAGCAACCAGGAATTAGGGTTGCTTTGTGAATGTCTGGAATATTTGGTGAGATGTGTTTGGCTTAACCTGCATGGTTAATGGGCAGCCTCCCAGTGGCCACAAGACAAGGGGCTCCAACCCCATTCAGACTGAGTCCAGGAGTCAGCAAGGTGGAAATGGGGAGGAGGAGAGATGGTTGAGACAAATGTGAAGGGAGGTGTTTGTGCTTGATACTGTACAGATATATATGACTAAATTTCCATACTTTCCATAATTAGGAACACCTGTGTGAGATGGACTTGCTGTTGTTAACTTCAGTTAATAATTTCCATTTATTATAAATGTCTGTCCTCTAGGTTTAAATAACTTCCCCATCAAACAAATAATACTCATTGCTACACCTGCTGCAAATCAGTCCAAGTTAAGAGCTTGATCAGCACAGCTTCTTTGGACAGGGATCTGTTCAAAACCTGCTGTGTCTTCCCATCCCTAGATTATGTACTGTATATAATAAATTTAAATGTCACAGGACTCCGTCATCTGATTTTCCATCTCCTCTCGAATCTGAAGGAGATCTTCCTGAAGGTGTGTAGTCTGAATACTTTGTTGGTGCAGGGAAGACTCTTCCCATAGCCAGTGGAGACGAATGTCTGGAAAGAATTCAGATCCCACGTTATAAACTCTGGGCTGTTTCTGGTTCGACAAAGTAAAATCAAAGAAGTAGAACACCTTTCAATTGAAACTGGAGCCATTCCAGCACTCACACGTACTGTGTAAACCTAATATTATCTAAAACTAATATCAAAAGTAGGACACAAACCCACTTGGCAAAAATTACTCTTTTGAATGGAAACTTTTAGGCATAATTTATGCCTTACATTGTCAGAGAAGTGCTTTCAGGATTTTCAGAACAATACAGTGTTTTATTGTTTTTTTAAATTAGTTTATATACCTTAAACCTGCTTTTGAGTTTGTGTTTTTCTAGGTATATACATTATTATCGGTCTGCTTTATTGCTTTTGTTAACGTTTTGACAGTGGTAATACATTTTCTTTTTACTTAAAATGTCTCTTGGTTTCGAATTTCACACACATAAAGTGTCTACATTAGGAATGTAGAGTCATAACAAGCTTTGTGGAATAGTACCCTCGGGGTAATGCTATAGTTGACCTACAAAAATAAACCTAAACAGCAAGCTATTTCCTTGATTTTGTTTGGAAAATCGGTTCACATTTATAACATCAGGTCACTAAAACCGGTCTTACTTTTTGAATTCCCAAAAAACAGTCTGGGTGCTGAGGAAGATAATTTGGCCAGGAGAGGTTTATCTGGCTTATGTGCTGTGAAGAACTACAAACCATGATGACCACATCTGGAGAGGTTGTGTTTAGAAACGTAAAAGATAACAGTAAAGGGGAGAAAAAAAACTCTGCTCATGCTGAAAGAAGAAAATAATTCTCTTGAAATGTCAGGGCATTTCCTGAGCTCAGGTCAACACTAATAGGATCTAATCTCTTCACACATTGTTGGGACTCAGTAATGAAGCACAGATGTCACTTGGTGTGTGAAAAGAATCCAGCCTTATGCAAGAAGCAATCTGTCGTCTTAATTCAATATACCAGCCTGCCATGAAGGGAAATCATTCCAGTACAGCACAACCTGAACTATTTCAGAGGCAGTGTCTTATGTTTTCATAGTCGACTGCTGTGAAAATAGCCCCTTAGCAACTAAGTACAGGCAGACTAAAGAAGTATCAACAATAAACTTTAATTTTAAATGTTTCTTTAAACATGCATTATGTTATGGTTAGCAATGCTTCAGGAGTGATTCAGATGTCAGTTATTTGTAGTCTCATAAGCTTATCTACCCTGGAGAATCCTGTCCAGCTGTCAGTATTTAAAATGTGGAAATAAAAATATTATTCATAACTGAAAGCTCATGCGTTATCTAGGAGGTAATTTTCATTTCCCTTCCTACATTGCAGAACCTCCATCTATTTTAAATAATTCATGTATTTTTTATCCAGCAGAGTACAGGTGCCCAATCCTGGTCCTGGAGGGTTAGTGTGTCTGAAGGTTTTCAAGGTGTCTTTATAGAGCTACACCTGAAGGGCTGGTCTGAAATTGGTCAGATCCAGCCAGTAACCACTTGTTGTAGCTCATTAAGAGCTGAGCTGAAATGAAAACCTGCAGACACACTGACCCTGCATTAGAGGCTTGTAGTG